CCCCGCTGTGAGGATGGGGCCGGCTTCAGGCGAGGGAGCCCGGCCGGTGCCGAGCCTGCTGCCCTTCTGGGAACCCGAAGGCCCTACCTTCGGCTTGTTACTTCTTTCTTTTCCCGTATTTTCCTTTTAACCGCACGTATGCGTGAATATGCAGAAGGAGCTTGGTCTGCCGTTTTGGATATTCAACGCGTAAGGCAGTGTTGGATTATTATTCTCTTGGTGACTTGAAAAGTGGCAGGCTGAATCAGATGAAGATGGATTAGTGCATCTTGACACGCAATGCTTCTTTCTAATGTCCGAACCCCGAAGTGTGTTGTGTGGGGGTAGATGGTATACTCGCAGAATGCAAACCCTGAACCCAGCTGGGATCCCTGGATCCCACAAAGGTGAACATGGGAGAATCAAAGCTAGCCTAAAAACGTTTTGCTTTATTCTCAAGAGAGAGGTTGTTTTTTTTTTTTTTTACTTTAACTTTTGAACTTATTTCTCTTATTGATAAACTGAATCACTAGCCAATGTTTTCTTTATATCTACACAACTCTTAAGGCTTTTAGAGAGTAATATAGAATGTTTGCAATGTGTTTTTCCATACTGAGCCTTTGTGAAAACCAGTAGATTTTTCTTCTTTTGTTGAGAGATGGGTTATTTGCTTTTCACTTTGACAGAGAAAATTCATAGCTAACAAATTCATTACCGACTGTGAAGTCTTATATTTGAAAGACAAAAAGATACTGGATATCTGAAAGTATACAAACTCAAATTTAGGGGCCAGACTCAAACTGGTGGTTGCGGTCTATATAGAAGCGATAAGAAGGCTAATCTTTAGTTGTTCGTTTCTTGCACAGTCATCAAAAGTGGCACCAGTAGTCCTGGTCAGACCTGGAGTTTCATTTGACATATTAAACAGCACCATACCCAGAGAAGAACCTGTTAAAAAGTAGGTCGCAAGTAAAAAATTTTTGTTAATGATGTAGGTGAGGGTCTGATCTTTCAGTCCTGCTCAAATCAGTTATTTCCAGTTACATCATACACTATACGGTCTGACTTTCATCTGTAGTTATCTTTCAACGCAATTATTTTGTTTAGAGTTCATAGATCATTAATGTTAATTTTCAGCAGCTGTTTAAATTGCTATGTGTTGTGTTACTCGGCTACATAACTGGAAAAAAGTAACTTTAAGGCAGTCTTGATATTTACTGCTTTGCCTTACGGGTCCAGTGTTTTCAATATGTCTTTGTTCTGTGTATTGAAGGTGACAACAGCTGTTGGAAAACTTCTTGGTGAAGAAAAGGTGGATGCAATCTTGTGTGTAGCAGGAGGATGGGCTGGAGGCAGCGCCAAAGCTAAATGTAAGCCTTTGGTACACGCATGCCAGTGAACACATGAATGAAATCTGAGAGGAATCCTTAAAAATCATGGTAATAAAGATATTTGAGATCACCTTTCTTCCTGAGTCCAGAAGAGAACATGAGCATAAAAATACAAAATAGCTCAGTCACAATGCTTCTTAGTGCTGCTCTGAATTTTTGCTGTCTGGTAAATTTGCACAGCGCTTACTATTTTCAGTAATACTTTTTGATACACTGGTTTTCATCGGAAAAATCTTGATGCACTTTATTGAAGGAGTTCAGCATTATTATCTACAAACTAACTATTCCCAAGGTTACCTGTGTCAGGCAAGTTACATAAGACAGTGGCTGGGTGGAAGTATCGATGTTGTTTCCTAATTTACTGCTTTATGCATAAAACCTCAGTTGCCTTGTGCAGTTCTCTGAGCTATTACTGTCGAATACGGTATTGGAACGAGCTGTCTAATGACCGGAGATCATGCTACAGAAAAAAGCCTTCAGCTTTAAAAAAAACTTTTAAATGTGTAATATTCAGAATGATATTTTGTACTTTAGCCACTACAGTAGAGATACAAGAAAAAAAAAAAAAAACCAAAACCCCCTTATTTGCGGCCAGGAGTAAATCTGGTAAAATGTGTCCTTTCCTTCCCCTCTTCCACCTCAGACGTTGCAGGCAAAGATTTCTTTTTAAAGAGAGACAACATGGAAAGGCATACGCACACCGCAGTTGCATGATATTAGATTTAGTAGTGTGCACCATATTTTCAATAAGGTGATTTATCATAACCATAATTTGTAGTAATGTTATCGGTAGAGTAGCAGGATATCTTGGGATAGGTGGTTTGCTTATGTCACAGAGTTATTTATGCTTATTCCATATTGTATTATGGAAATGGTTCTTTCTGAATACTGAAATCTTTGACATGGCTAGTTACTGTTTTTCCTCTTTTCCCATGCAGATATTGGTAATAAAAAACAATGATGAGAGTTCAAATCTTGCTTTAATTTGGAGTTATTGGTGCACCTCCCTCCGGTAGGCTGCCTTACCAGAGGTTGAACTCCAGTATGTAGGGGCACTGGGATGAACACTTAGTACAGTGTGGGTGCATGCAACTTCGATATTCCATACCTGTGTACTGCTGCCAGACAGACAGATTGATTCTTGGTTTATGAAGTAATCTGGTGATACAAAAGAAATATTCAACTCCTTTATCTCTTGGAGTCTTCTGTCTGCATACTAATGGAGCGTAGCTCTTTTGCAGCCAGTGAGGAAGTTATGGAAAGAGACAAATCCCACTACTGCCAGATGAGATGAGACTAATGTGAGAGTTTTGAGATCCCTGATATAGATTGAGGTAACCCCTGCAGGAGGTTCAAGAACTTGGAAATCTTTGACCCATTAATGGAGAGCTAATGGAACTATCTTGTGTTTATCTCTTTTATTTTTTTTATTTTTTTTATTTCTGGTAGTGAGAAAGTAAATAATTGCCTAGAATATATGCTGTAGAGCTGGGACTCGACCCCAAACGGAAGGGAGATATAAAAGACGTAAATTGATTGTTTGCCCAACATAGAAGTAGAAAATGCTAGAAAGCATGTTTTCATAGGCTGTTGTTCTCTGTGTGACAATAAGGAAATTAAGAGTTAGAAAACTTCTATCTTTTAGTTAATTTCACTAATTCATTTCCTAATCAGCTTTATACAAAAACTGTGATCTGATGTGGAAGCAGAGCGTTTGGACATCCACTATTTCCAGCCATCTAGCCACAAAACATCTGAAAGAAGGCGGCATCTTGACTTTGACAGGAGCTCAAGCTGCTTTATCTGGAACTCCAGGTAAAATGCAATGTATGATAACTGCTGGGACATCAGCAGTTATAGCTGTCTGTTAGTCTGAGCATTCTTGTTTGTGAAGCGACAGTTTCACTCCCCAATTTCTTGGCATCTGGTAAAAATGGAAAATTGCTGCTAAAACACTTAAGGAAAGTGTAATTTTGTAGGTAGCAGTCTGAATCTCTTGAAGCTGGAGGGCAAAGAGATAGAATCAGTATTTAAATAATATTTGACATGCATTGGTGAAATGTACTAATATATGATAAGAGTAAAAAAGTTTGGAAGTAATGAAGAATAGAAGCACACAGCAAGCTGTAAGTACAGAGCTTAAATAGAGTTCAGTCTGGTATTTTTACTCTGAAAGGCAGAGTCCTTAATTGCCTATTTTTTCCATTGGTGATGACTCAGCTGATTCTGTTAAATGTGCTTATCCTGTTCATGTTCTGATTCCAGTCTACCTTTGCTTCAGACATAGATAAGCTTGTTGACCTTTGGCTTTGCCCTCCACTAGCTATTTAATACAGACTTTATTAATTTTTTTCATCTTGCTTCTCACCACGTTGGCCTACATGGAGGAAGAAATCTGGGAGCAATTAAAAATTAAAAAAAAAAAAAAGAGGGGGCACCGGCATGCAAAACTGCAGGCAGGGAGAGGGAAGTTGGAGACAAATACTTTTATTTCCCAATATTTTATTAGTGTGACTTCAATGATATTTTTATGAGACATAGATACTAAAATTTTACAACATATAAAATTTATGAATATTCCTGAAACCTGTGTCTAAAACAGTTCAGGAAAAATATGCTGTATTTTCTAGTTAATGATTTATCTTCTGTGTTTACAGCTGCATCTGGCATGGTCTAAAGATAAAGGGCTTGTTTTGTGAGAATAAGCAGATGAATATTTTACTGTGTACTACTGACTGACCATAGACAAAGGAAAAAATGTGAACTCTGACAAACTTTCATGTTGTTTTTTGTTTGGGTGGTTTTGGGAGGTAGGGACCACAACACAGGAATCAGTGATTTTCTTTCATGTTTTGAACTAGCTTGTTTCAAGGAGTCTGGATTTTTCCAAAAAACACAGCAATGCTTTGGGCAAACACATGCAACTTATTAACATCAGGAAGAATTTGGAAAGAGTTGTTCCTCAACTTCTGCAAATATGACTTGTTAGGCTCGTTACTACCAGCCATTATGGAAGGAACCATCTTTTTCTTGTTTGCTGTTTGCCCGTTTGCTGTGTGATTTTTCTTTTCCTGTGTAAATGTTGACTCACATAATGCAAACTGAAGAATACTGAGAATTATATAAAACAGTTTCAGAAGTGATCTGACAACGATGGCTAAGAAACGTGGAAGCATGAAAAGGTTTAAGACTTGGAATGTTTGGTTTAGACGAGCCAAGAGGGGAATATGATAGAAATGCAAACATCTTTATCATAACAATAAAATAAGTTAGCCACTGCTGCCCGTGATTCCTCCTAATAAAAATGGGTGTTATACAACATGTCTAATTGAATATAATGAAATAGTCTTCAGTGCAAAATTACCTTTGTAACTTTGATACAAAATACTTCCTCAGGAATATTGGAAAGGGGTTGTGTAGTTACATAGATGGGTAGAAAAGCATCCAGTTGTAGTAGACAAAATACACTTATGTTTTCTTATGTGCTTAATCTGTGTCCAGAGTGCTTGGCAGATACATACCATGAGACACCTCGGACCCGTAGCACCCTGATTGTCCAGATCTTGTACCTGACCAGTGTGCCTTATGCTTTCATTCCTGTTGCTCTTGCGCTGCTATATACCACCTGCCTAGAAGGCAACAGTGTTTAGGCAGATGTTTGCTTTACCTGCAGGTTATCCAGTAATTTTCTACCATGAGGTTTTGGGGTTCGATTTTTTTTTTTTTATTTATTATTATTATTATTATTATTATTTTTCCCTTTTCCTCTCCAAAGGGCCTGTCAGACTTGGGATGCTGACCAAGTGAATTACAGTTCTGGAGAGAAGTGAGCTCTATCTGTTTGGGTTCAAACCTGCAAATACCTTAGTCATATGATTAAAATTAATGCATGATTGCCTAATTAAAGTATATGAGCATCTTCACATTTAGTCTGTTAGATTTGTAAGGTTAACCCTGTATGTCTCACCCTTCAGGGTACATTTGGGTCCATGAACTAAGGTACTTAACTCGGTAAGCTGTGTATTTCTGTAGTGCAGAGTAAACGGAGTTCCGTGATAGTTCCTGGATATCTAGTAAGAGCTTATTGTTTTTCCTTTTTTCCTTTTTTTCTTTTAATATGTATGTTTTGATATATTTTAAATGTATGATTTTGTTCTGGCTGTGGTAAGTGGTCTTAAACGTAATATTCATTAAATAATCTGAGTTTCTATCAAATTGCATACTGAAAGCTGTTTTGATGGTGCTCTAATTTGCCTGTTTTTAATTGTTAGGGATGATTGGCTATGGCATGGCCAAAGGAGCAGTGCATCAGCTTTGTCAGAGTTTAGCTGGTGCCAATAGTGGCTTGCCATCTGGTTCTGCTGCTGTTGCCGTTTTACCGTAAGTGATTGCATAGTTGCCTCTGCCTGTGTTGTTTTGTTTAATTACTGCTGTAACCTAGAGCCACACGGGTATGCTTGCGGTGTCCTGTTCACAACGCACAGCTTCAGACCTACTTAGAGTTTCACAGAGAAGGCAGACATCTTGAATGTATGAACAAAATGATATGCAAGTCACCCTAAAAATGATTAAGTTCTTTTCCCTTTCTTTGCAAAACAGTAGTGGATGTTAGGATTAAAATGTGATTCACTGGTTTTAACCATAGCCATGCATTAAAGTGACTTTCTTTTTCCAGTATAGACAGAACTCTGTCAACGAGATGAGCTATTCAGCACAGTTTTAGACTTAGCTGTGTGATAATAGTAAAGCAAAGGATTATTTGATAAGCTTTGACTTGGTTAAAGATACTTTTTCATAAGGTGCTGTATATCTATGCTTGATCAGTAAAATTATGTTACTTTGAGGATCTGTGGAAAGAAAAAAAATTAGCTTGTATTTGCCTGTAACAGCCTTCTTTTTGATGAGGCAAGCTAGTAAAAAGTGGACGGCCTAGTAGGCCCTCGCTATGTCTATATTTATCAGTTCTGCTGCAAAAATTAAAGGTATTTTTCTTGCCAGGTCCATATCTAGTTCAGGACCCAAAACTTAAGACTAAAGAGTTCTGTATAGGGATTTGGAATGCCACCTGAATTCTCCCTGCTTTTTTTTCCCCTCATACACACAGTCTTATGCACACTTCTTCAGGTCAGTGAGCGACAGCATTAAAAGCGTTCAGATAATTGACACCACTTTCTGCAGAACTTTACAGACAGTCAGACACTAAGATCACTGGACTTCTGGGCATTCTGCACTTGCATTCTGCACTCATAGTTCATGCGAAACTCTGTTGCTGAGTGAATTTTTGAGAGAGTAATTATACCTTGGATTGGCAACAGCATCAGTGAGGGAGTTGTGAAAAGTTCACCCCTTAATATCGTGTGTAGCAGTTGTGAAAAGTTCACCCCTTAATATCATTGTGTGTAGTGTAAATATGTATCATCAAAGTCAAAACTTGCTATGCTTGTGCACTTACTCTCTGCGTTTGCAGCTGGTATGAGGCTATTTGAAGGCACGGATGTAGTGCGTATGTGCTGTGCAGTACACGTGAATGAGCATATTACTGCTATTCCCTGTGTGCATGAGAGGCTGCAAGGGAGCTGTGGGCTAAGTAGTTGCCCTAATGGGCTGGATGTCATCAGCAAACCAGGAAGGTGAGGGATTATAGATCGGAGCCTTTGATATACATTGAAACTGAGGGCTATATGCTGTTAACAGATGTAGAGGATGCGAGGGAAATCTGTACCATGTGGTATAAAAGTCAAGCATATGTTACAGCAGTTAATAGAAGCAGGTGGCACTCATCAGAAATGTGATGTATAAATAAAAGGCTTATCTTTTTTAATCATAGGGTTACCTTAGATACACCAGCAAACAGGAAATCAATGCCTGATGCAGATTTCAGCTCCTGGACACCCTTAGAATTCATTGCTGAGTGAGTATCCCTGTGATAACTAAGCAATTCCTCACTGTCATTCTTGCTGCTGCATCTTATTGCATGTTCTTTCTAAATACCTGTCTTGATTTGGGTGTTTTTTTCCTCTGTCATCCCCTTATTGTGTATGTTTCTAAATCACACTGGGTTTATTGCACAGGCTTCTTAACTGGAGAAAATTAGCTCAATTCCGTCAACTTCAGCATCTCTACACCAGTTATTCCAACAAGGGAGATTGGCTTACAACTGCTTAAGGCCGAGAATCTCATAAAGCCTGTAGACAAATTAAATTGCAGACAGCAGATGCAGGAGACAGTAGTCTGGCTTAAAGGTAAACTGCAAATAGGCATGTAAAATTTGGTTGGATTTTTTTTTTCTTTTAAACTCTCTTTACTGCTCAGTCTATGGTGTGTTATTCACTTCTCTCGGCTGGCAAAATTCCTGCTTTTGTTTAGAAAAATTTAGTCAAGATTTTTTTTTTTCTCATCATCCACAAAGACTTGTGTTGAATGATGTTGCAAAATGCTGAAACTTCAAGTGTAGCTTATTTAACAGCAGGCTGAGATTATAAGGCTTACTCCTTCTAATCTCTCCCAGTTAGAGAAAGTGGAGCATAAGTACTGCTTTCTGCGATGTGATGAGGAGTAAAGATTCTGCTGAAAGTGAGCTGTGAAAAAGAAGAAAATAAGGACACAGCTGTCTTGTCTCTAAGGAAAACCAAAGATGACTCTACGTACATCATAAAGGGGTTTACTTTGACACAGTTTTGAAGTCTTTTACAACTGATACTGAAATTGCGTTTACTTATTGCTAATTGTTCAGAGAGTAGTTTAGTTCTGACATTAGACTTCCTTTTTTTTGAGATTTTTTTTTAAAGTTGGATGTCAGAGTGGGAAATTTGTTTTTTATTGCGAGAAACCTATGCAGCTGTTTGATATGGCTTTTTAAAAGGGTGCCATCAGTTGAATTTAGTTGGCCTAAAAATGTTCAAAAAAAAAAGTTTTTAATTTATTGTGTTCCAGAGACTGCTTAGCCAGGTTTTTTTAATTTTAACTTTTAAGCATTTTTTTCCTTACAGGAGAACTAGGTTGATCAGTTTGTTTTGTTTCTCGAGTTCTAATTCCCTAAACTTTAAATCCAGCTTTGAAAACTGAAAATCTCACTGGCTGTGGAAGAAAAACATCCAGTGTTGTTGAGCGTTGGTAACATCCGCGTCTTGGGAAGGATGTGGGAGATCTTTTCCCATATGGCACTTGAATTTTGTGCCCTGGAAGCCACTGTGTCAGATAGCAAATGCCATGTTGGAATGTCCTGCTATGTCTGCAATATTGGAAGGGCTGATAGACCTGAAAAATATACTACACTTTTTTATTATATTTTGAGTGTGGAGTTTGTATTGCATCTTGATAAGGAGTGTGCTACCTAGAATGAATCCATCTTACTCAGCGTTACTTTGGATGTTTTAAGGCTTTCTGTGCTTCTGCCGAGACCACTTTCAGTTAAACGTTCAAGTGTTTTAATTGCCTGTTGGCAGAGTAATGGGTTTAGCAACTCTGTTTTAGCCATAAATCTGTGTTCCTGATATATACTATAAAGACAACTTAAGTAGCCTCTCCTTCCCCTTTTCACTTTTTTTTTTTTAAACTTCAAAAAATCTTGCCACTTTGACATTTGAAGCTCATGGCCTTTTCCTTTGAGATGTTCTGAAAATCCTGTGTGTGCACTGTAAAGCCCTACGGATTTCTCTGGGCTTCTGTTTAGCTCTGAAGATCTGAATCCAGTGATCGCAATGCTAGTTTACAGCATATGCAGAAATCACTAGAGAGGGCAATAGGAAATGAAAGAAAAGGATTTTATTTTGTGCTTCCTGTTGATATACCTGATAGCAGTATTTTTTTTCCCTTCCTCCTCACCCTGTTTTATCCATTTATTTTAAAACAGAACATTTTATGACTGGGTAACAGGAAAGAGTCGACCAAACTCGGGGAGTCTAATCCAGGTGATAACTACAGGAGGGAAGACTGAACTAGTTGCAGCACATCTTTGATGTCAGTCACTTAAGACAGTGGAACTCCAGCAAAGGAGAAGCTATGGAAAATCTGTCTGCCACTATAATTGGATGATATTCTGTATCCAGTGATTGTCGTTATGTCATTAATGGAACCAGTTTTCAAATAATATTTCTGTGCTGTCAGTTGTGTGCTATCAGCATTCGTTTACCAATATGTATCAAGTATTTGTCTCTAAATGAAGGTTGCAGGCTTTAAAGTCTGTAGATGTCCTAATTCTGAGCATTTTATGTCAACTTACCCATTTTCTCTGAAATGGGAATTGTGCTTAATTATGTCATGTAATCACATATATAATGGTTGGATTTTTTTCTCAGTAAGTGTCTCTGACAACTTACTGTGACTCTTTCAGTAGTCTGTCTTTTTCTGTCTGAAGATATAACCCCGCCTCTGCATATTATGTTGGCTGTAATTATAGGAAACATTACAGTCGTATATAACGTCCTAGTCTTGTAACATTTTTCTTGTGAATGCTCCACTTGAGTTAATGGAACTGTATAGAGATTACTCGCTTGAGGAGGAGTACCTAATTTGCCTTACAGTTTATAAGCTGCTATCAGGCCTACAGTTGTAGGATAAAACAGTTGTTCTGCCAAATGATTATTGTGTCTTTGTGTGAGTCATGATGGTTCTTTACTTTTTCAAAAAGCAAAGTGCTGTAAAGAAATACTAGAAAAAGCATACACACTTCTACTTCAATGTGGAACTTTTTGTGCTAAATAAAAGTATATTGTTTTATGTACTGGGCTGTCTCCATCACTAATCCAAATCACTGGATAACATTTTAATCAGTTTAACTGAACTTGCAGTTCAGCTATGGCCAAGGACTTCTTTTTTTTTACTTAGTTGCTTCTGATCGTGCTGCATAAAATACATTTCTGTGGTAGAGGTGCAGAAGAGCTGCTAGCCATGCATAGAGGCAGCCCTTCAGCTGGAGCAAATGTTTTCTTTAATCTAGCTACATTATGTGGAAATACAGTTTGGTTGCAGAGTGCTTGTATGGCCTGTTCTGAGCGTTTACTTACAGGGGACCAGCACTGTCAGGTGTTTTGGAACATCTTGAAAACAGCTGAACACGCAAAGTTTTATGTATGCTCTCTCTATGCACTTTTTAAAAAGTAACTTCAGGGTTGTGTTGGAAGGATTTGCTGCCGTGAGTCAGGAAACCTTTCCCCTCTTCCCACTAGGAAAAGCTCATGCGTCCGTGTCTATTCTAACATGGTCATATGGGTGCGTGACAGCTTTTTTTGGCATGACTGTTGCTTTACTCATTTTATTCTGCTGGACACAAAGGTGTAGAGGGGAATTCTTATGTCCTGTCAAACCAGGCAGGAACTGTCAATTCATGAAGCTGCTTTTGATTTCATATGGAAGACTTGCAGCCATACTGTTTGAGCAGCAGTTTCTGCAGGCTAAGAGTACAGTCAAAAACTGCAAGGCACTGATGAGGAATGAAACACTAAGGTGTTAATTGATTGTTCTGGAAAAGGGAAGAGCTATCGTACTACAAGCTTACATGATTTGAAGGCTTTGCTTTGCCAAGCTAGCTGACCTTCCAAGTTGCTTTCCAATTGCTGTGTTGTGTTGTCTTGCAAAGATCTATTGCATTGTGTCTCATCTGCTCCCTGAAGACCAAATCAAGCTCTTGCATGGTGAAGGGAGCTTGGCTGGGATTCCAGATGTTCATTTATATCTGCAAGAGCACAGGGCCAAAGACCCAAAAGGCTGTAGGGCTCATGGGTATTTTTGCAGAACTTACTGTGGCAGAAGATGATAACACAGCAAATGGGACTGAGAGGAACAGGGAATCTTTTACTTCCTAAGGACTACAGAGGCTTTTCAGGCATCTTTTGTAAACTATGCGCACGTACCTGGACTTTAATGTTGTTGTTAATAATCTGGTGAAAAAGGCAAATGGCTGGTTATTGGTCATGTGGAATTAAGTTGAAGGTTGTGAGTAACCAACCCTGAGATTATACAGGAGGAAAGAGGGAAACCAGGTTTAAATTTTGGTAGAGAATGGAAGGACAATGAGGTGCAATACATGCATTTCGGAAACTAGACTGATTCCTCCTCCTTTGCTAGAAATACCTGATGGTCCTGATGGGAAAACCTGAGGCAGATCTGTGGTTCTGACCTGGATGCTTCAGGTATTCTCTGCCAGTGCCAACTAGAGATAAGGCCTTGAAAACAGGGGAGGTATCTATGCTAAGGAGAGGGTTGCTAAGCTTGTGGAGACCTAACCTGGTTAGTTGTCTCCGTCCATGTCACGTTGCATGAATGCACCGGTGCAGGTCTAGAAGCAGAACAGCTGTGTTAGACAGTGTTGGACGTGAACTAGTGCCACCAGTCATTCTGTGCTGCTGTATGTCCGCAGATCTAGCTCCAGTGCTGATTCAACACCTCACAGGGGTCTGCTGTGCACGTCCAGGCTGCTGCTCTCACCCAGCTAATTAAATGAAAGGCTATGGTTGTTGTAAGAGAGTAGCTGCATAAGTGCATGAGGTGGAAGACATCCATGTTGAATGGAGCCTGAACGTCGTAACAGGAATGTTACAGGAATGTCCTCAACGGAGCTGTCCTTCTGCTCTTGCTTGAAGGGGGAGGAATGGTACAGAACACGACTGATTTCTGTGTTCCATAAAGGGTGTCTACCCCAGTGTCCTCATTCAACTTGTACTGATGCCTACTGGGTAAGAAGCAGTAATGTACACATTGGAAACAATAATATGTTGACTGTAGCAATGTAAGAGTGGTGAAGTATGCTGACTGAAACAGTGAGTAGTGTTAAAACATAATTGTGAATGGAAGACTGTTGACTGGATTATTGACTTTTATCAGTTGCAGGCATGAGTGGAAAGATGAAAATGGCATTATTGAAGCTTAAGAGTGAGAACGAAGGTGTTGGCAAGTGCACGTCAATCTAGAGGTGAGAGATTTAACCTGGGGAGTTTGATGGAAAAGAAGCTTTATGTGCCCATTTTCATCCTGTGTCTCTAACAAACTTTATTCCAGTTAAGTAATTGTCTAGCAGAAAAAGCCACCCTGACACTGGAAAGATCTGGGTTGCCTAGCTCCTTCAGCAGGCTCGGACGTCTGTTGGTGCTGCAATGAGAAGGAAAGATGTAGTCTGTGGGAACTGCAGGGAGGTAATCCATACTAAACACTCCAGACACACAACTGGAGTCTGCAGGTCTGTTGGGAAGATTTTTCACAGAATGGTTTCGGTTGGAAGGGACCTTTGAAGATCTTTTAGTCCAACTCCCCTGCCATGGGCAGGGACAACTTACAGAAATGCAATACCTGATGAATTTCCACTCTAGTGTTGTGAGAACCCCTGAGTTGTTCAACATATTTTACTATTTATATGGCACCATCAACAGCAATGTAATACTGCAGAAATAAGAAGTTTAACCTCCTTTAATTGAAGGAATGCAATATTTATTCATTTCTTAGTAAATTCAGCTGCTTAATATATTTTTTTATTTAGGACTGTACAACTGGTGTAATTTAAAAAATTCACATGCATAGATCCAATTTAGTAAGGCACTTTTCTATACAACCTCCTTTTGAAGAAGTATACTACTGTTTACTGAAGAAAGAGATGGGTGAGGTCTGGGGAAAAATAAAACACAAATTGTGCCATTTAAATCAGTCCTGCTCTTACGCTCTAACCCATTTGTGCTTAGCATTCTTGTGTTTACAGGAGCAGCAGTGTACCTCTTCTTCTTGGAAAAGGGACGTTTCCAGACCAGAGCCAATGTGTCTGAAAAGATGATGCAATTATGTGGTACACCCATACACACGTAGGTGCAGTTACCCCAGACTGGGGCAGCTGTTAGACACAGCATGAGATACGAGTGTGCAGAGACAAAATATGTCTTTGCCAGGGTGCCACGGCAGCCGACATGGGTCTGATTTGTATGAATATTTTCTTCTTTTATAGAATTAGAAAAAGTAGATTTTAATAAAGCACAAGTAAGTATAAAAGAGGCTTGTACAGGAGAATATTAGTAGTATCATTACAATCCAAAGACCTCCGAGCGCTGGGCAAAAAGCTGTTTTTGACATTTCAGGCTGTGGTAGGTTGACCCTGGCTGGATGCCAGGTGCCCACCAAAGCCTCTCTGTCACTCCCCTCCTCAGCTGGACAGGGGAGAGAAGATATAACAAAAGGCTTATGGGTCGAGAAAAGGACAGGGAGATCACTCACCAATTACTGTCACGGGCAAAACAGACCCAACTGGGGGAAATAAGTTTAATTTATTACCAATCAAATCAGAGTAGGGTAATCAGAAATAAAAACTAAATCTTAAAACACCTTCTCCCCACCCCTCCTTTCTTCCCAGGCTCAACTTCACTCTCGAGTTTCTCTATCTCTTCTCCCCAAGCAGTGCAGGAGGATGGGGAGTGGGCATTTTGGTAAGTTTATCACAAGTTGACTCTGCTGCTTTCTCCTGCTCAGGAGGACTCCTCCATGCTCTTCCCCTGCTCCAGCGTGGGGTTGCTCCCATGGGAGACAGTCCTCCACGAACTTCTCCACCATGAGTCCTTCCCACAGGCTGCAGTTCACTAACTGCTCCAGTGTGGGTCCCTTCCATGGGGTACAGTCCTTTGGGAACAGACTGCTCCAGAATGGGTCCCCTGTGGGGGCACAAGTCTTGCCAGTAAACCTCCAGCATGGAGTCCACAGGACCACAGGTCCTGCTAGGAGCCTGCTTGTATGCAGGCTTTCCACAGGGTCACAGCCTGCTTTGGGCACCCACCTGCTCTGGTCTGGGGTACTCCATGGGCTGCAGGTGGATATCTGCTCCACCGTGGACCTCCATGTGCCACAGGGGTACACCCTTTCTCACTATGGTCTTCACCATGGACTGCAGGGGAATCTCTGCTCCGACGGCTGGACCACCTCCTCACCGTCCTTCTTCACAGACCTTGGTATCTGCAGAGTTCTTTCTTTCACATATTCTCACTCCTCTCTCCAGCTGCAATTGCTCACTTTTGGGTTGTTTGTTTGGTTTTTTTTTTAAGCTTCTTAACTATGTTATCCCAGAGGCATTACCACCGTCGCTGGCAGGCTTGGCCTTGGCCAGCAGTGGATCTGTCTTGGAGCTGGCTGGCATTGGCTCTAGTTGACATGAAGCTTCTAGCAGCATCTAACAGAAGCCACCCCTGTAGCCTCCACCTCCCAAGACCTTGCCGTGCAAACCCAATACAACAGGCATAAGTGTTCGAGAACCTGAGCTGCT